GGGGTCAGATGTTCATTGACAAAGAGGGGCCCACACGGGTTCCACGGAACGTTGCATTCGGGGCTGCAGACTGATCCACGGCACGCGGATGTCATCCGAATATTGTTTCTGGTCGCAATTATTTCATAAAAATCGTATCTGTCTCGTGGGGCAGCACGGGGCAGCACGGACCCCGTGACTGCACGCGACTGCACGCGACTCCCTTCCCCTCCGCTCCCGCGCGCCACCCCAAAGCGATATCCATCATCTCGCCGTGTGTGGCAGAGGGTCCCCCGGCCTGCGCGTGTTTCTCTGTGCGTATGTGGGTGTCGGTGTGCGTGTCTGTGTGTGTGCGTAGGTCGACTCAGCCTCAAATGAGTACCTGGCGCAGTGTGTAAACATCGCCATTGGGGAGATAAATGCGGCCGGACGTGGTGCTGGCCATCCACCCTCCCGTGTGCCTTGCCGGCCTTTATAGGTGCTCGCTAACAGCACTTGCCCCAACAGTATGTTAAGGCTATAGGGGGATATTTGTCTTTGTGTGTATGCGCGTGTCCGTGTGTTTGTGTGTGTGGAGAGCGGTGGCGTAGCGGTTAGCGCGACCCGGGTTCGATTCCCGCTCACGATCAACACCAGTGACGATTATCTGAACCGGTCCTAGGCCTCCCCTAGGTCGACTCAACCTCAAATGAGTATCTGGCGCGGTATGTAAACATTGCCACTGGGGAGACAAAGGCGGTCGAGCGTGGTGTTGGCCACCCACCCTCTCGTTTGCCTTGCCGACCTTCAAAGGTGCTCGCTAACAGCATTTGCTCCGACAGTCTGACAGTCTGTTAAGGCTACATGGGGGATATTTGTCTTTGTGTGTGCGCGTCTCTGCATCTCTGCGTGTCTGTGTGCGTATTTCTGTGTGTGCGTGTCTGGCGGGGAACGCACAGACTGTAACAACCACAGGGACATCTTATTCAGTGTGCCGGGAAAGGTTCTGGCAAGGTTTATTCAACATCACCTTGCCAGGCACGCTGAGGAGAGGCTTATCGAGCCCACGATGTGGATTCAGGCCATTATTAACCTGGCCAATGCCAATTAAACGTATGTATGTTGATCTTCTTTCGCACCGTACGTAGCCGACCGTGATAATCGGATGTTCAGATTTCCCATCAATAGGCCAGGGTTCTGGGTTGTTCTTCGTGCTTTCGGAGTCCCTGACTCTGCTCACTATCATTAAAGATCTCCATGATGGTGGGCTGGCCAGGGTAAAGCTACATGGTTGGGAGTCAGAACCTTCCCCGTTCACCTTGGGGTGCAACAGGGATGTCCTCTAGCTCCTACATTATTTAACACATTTTTCCACCACGTAGTTCTGTTACCGGAGGAATTTACATCTGGTAAAGATACAATGGGAGGCTGATCGATGCCCGGGTGCGGTCGAGGGATGGCTCCCTATTGGTCAAACCACATCATAGGGCATGGTGGTGTCCGGCCAGCTGGTGCTGCTGTGCCTCAAATATTGGAGGACGTAGCCGCTCCGTGTGAGTGGTTGGCTGATGTGTTGAGGAGGTGCGAAGGGCGATCCAGAGCTTGAGACCAGGTAAAGCACCGGGGAGAGATTAACTCTCCAGAAAACTGTTGAGGGAGGGTGGCGTCTGTGTGCAGGCTGCTCGATGTGACATCATTACAACCGTCTGGTCCACAGGACGGATTCTGCAGGATTGGAAGGATGCCCTTGTGATCCCCATTTTTAAAAGGGGGCACTGCACTGATTGCTACAACTACCGGGGCATTCAAAATTGCCTCGCTATGAATTCTGAGGAGAGGCTTGTTGGGCCCCAGTGTGGGTTTCACACCAGGGCACGATTTCCTTCGTCCGTCTGCGACAGCGGAAGTGCATTTGAAGTCCCGGATCCTCTGCTCACAATCATTAAGGACCTTCACGAATACATTGAGGTTGGACTCAGTACACACACAGTGCTTGCCACAAATGAACCACAATACCTCGCTGATCTAGTCAACGAGCAAAAGCCACCACGCGAACTCCGCTCATCCTCGCAGTGGCTTTTGGCGAGCCATCGAACAAAGATGGTCACTGCATCGCGCTTTCAGATGCGCGTCTACGGCCGACAGGAAGGTTCTTCCGATATTAGGAAGCCACTGGAGCTTTGCGCTTTTAAATCTAGACTTGAAAAATAATTTCTTTAGAACTGCTTTTTGTGTTTGGTTTATTGTCCTACACCCGCACCTCCCATGAGCACGGTTTTCTGCGTACGGTGCGAATAAGTTAAACGTACAGTACACACGTGGTGGTGGGCAGGCCCGGGTAAAGCTGTGACCGGGAGTCGGAGACATTTTCTGCTCACGTTGGAGTGCAACAAGGATGTCCAAAGATGGCCCGTACACTATTTAACATCTTGGACTGAGATAACTGGCAATTAACTCATAGCCACAAATTGGTTTTTAAAATATTTTAAATAACTATAGATAGTAAAAATATATATATATATTTCTCATTGTATAGACTTCTCTATGTTCATGGGGTAAGGTATGAACAGGGGCGGAGCCAGGATTTTGCAGCAGCCAGATATCCGGTTATCCCGGTTATCCCGATTTTCCCAAAATTTCAGGGGGGGGCTAAGCCCCCCCCCAGCCCCCCCTGTGGCTCCGCCCCTGGGTATGAATGTCATGATGGTGCATTGAGTAGAATATTTGTGCCAGAAAGGCGCTACGGGCGACTCGACCTTACAGTCAACCCATGGCACCTGGGTCTGTCCCGTGACCTCCTGTCAGGGAGCCTTCAACATTCACCTGGCCTCAGTGTACCTAGCCTGGCACAAGCGCCATGGTGACGTCCCCGCCACTGGGTGGCGAACGAGGATTGTTGTTGTTGTGAGCTGCAGTGTTGATGAGTGAGTGAATGAGTCCGTTTGTGAGTGACTTCGTGAGCGAGTGAATGAGTGGGTTTGTGAGTGAGCGTTGCTGTGCCCTGCACGGTGGTGAGTGAGTGTTGACGTGAGCTGTACTGTGGTGTTGTTGTGGACTGCCGTGTAGTGAGTGAGGAATGAGTGAGTTTGTGAGTAAGAGTTATTGTTCCCTGTACTGTGGTGAGTGTTGGTGCGAGCTGTACTGTGGTGTTGTTGTGGACGGCCGTGTGGAGAGTGAGTGAGTGAGTTTGTGAGCGAGTGTTGTGAGCTGCTGTGTGATGACAGTCCATGGGCCAGAGCAGAATTCGGTACCGCCTTGGATATCAACACTGTAGCAGTGCCTGTTTAGCGAATTATCTGACATCGGGGCTCATTTTAATCATTTCACATAATTCATTGGTATCGGCCGCATTGAGGAATTGGAACCGAGAAAAGTGACACCACGTGGGGTAACAGCGACCAACGAAACATCTCCTCTGAGTGCGGCGAGAGAGCGAGTGAGTAGCTGAGTGAGTAGGTGAGCGGGTGGACAAGCGGGTGAGTAGCTGAGTGAGTAGCTGAGCGAGTGGACAAGCGGGTGAGTGAGCGAGCGAGTGAGTAGGTGAGTGAATGGACAAGCGGGTGAGTGAGCGGGTGAGTAGCTGAGCGAGTGGATAAGCGGATGAGTGAGCGGGTGCGTGGCGGGTGAGTCGGGGTGAGTTGTTTTGGCTTGCAGTGCGCGGTGGTTGAAGGCAGTGTGGATGATGAGACAATTGGGGGTTGTCAGCGGGGTGTACAAGCATACATAACCCCGACGTGCCATGAAGGAGGGCCTTTGCCCGAAACATCGCCTCTATTAGGTTTGCTTTTCACTTCAAGGCCACACGGTGTTGATAACGTTGGCGTTGGGTGGGAGATGCCGCGGGTAGAGTGTGTGTGGAAACCATGCGTTGGAGAGCGGTGGCGCAGCGGTGAGCGCGCTGCGCTACGAACCCGGCGACCCGAATTCGATTCCCGCTCACGGCCACCAACACCAGTGGCGAATATCTGAAGCGGTTCTGGGCTTCAGCCTCAAATGAGTACCTGGTGCGGTGTGTAAACATCGTCACTGGGGATACAAAGGTGGCCGGGCATGGTGCTGGCCACCCACGCCCTCACGTGCCGTTCCGGCCTCCAAAGGTGCTACTCACTAACAGCACTTTCCCAAAGAGTCTTTTAAGGCTACACGGGGGGGTCTTTGTCTTTGAGGAGTCTATGAGTTGAATTCCCGGCTACGGCTAACATCAGTGGCGACGAGAGATGTTCGAACCGCTGCTGGATACCCCCCTCCCCCACTTCACTAACCCACGATGACCAGCCTGGTGATGTATGGTCAAACAACCTCCCGTAACTAAGGCATAGGGAGGCCGTCATCCAGCAGTGGATTGTCACGAGTGGGGAGTGGGGGGGGCGCGGTCGGTGTGTGTGCTGCTAGACATGTCGCGTTTACTCACCTGTGTACTGCGTGTACTGTGTCGCGCCGGACTGCATACTCATTGGGTGCGCTGTGACCTGCAGCCTGTGTACTAACGCTGTGGTGGTGCTGTGTGTGTGCTGTGCCCCGTGTGTGCTGTGTGTGTGTGCTGCGTGTGTGCTGTGTGTGTGTGCTGTGCCCCGTGTGTGCTGTGCCCCGTATGTGCTGCGTGTGTGCTGTGTGTGTGCTGTGGTGCTGTGTGTGTGCTGTGCCCCGTGTGTGCTGTGTGTGTGTGCTGCGTGTGTGCTGTGTGTGTGTGCTGTGCCCCGTGTGTGCTGTGCCCCGTATGTGCTGCGTGTGTGCTGTGTGTGTGCTGTGGTGCTGTGTGTGTGCTGTGCCCCGTATGTGCTGCGTGTGCTGTACCGTGGCGTACCGTGCTGGTCTGCGTGTTCCATATGTGTTGCGTGTACTGTTTGTGCACTGCGCGTGCGTTGTGTGCGTGCTATCTGTACTGCATGTGTGTTCTGCACGCGTGTACTGCATGTGTCATGTTTCATTCGGTGTTCTGCGTACACCACGTGCTCCACGTGTACCGCGTGTTGTACGTGTAACGCCTACTCCACTTGTTCTACGTGTGCCGCGTGTCCCACCGCCACCACGCGCGCGCGCAGCCTGTAAGCGCAAAGAGCAGGAGCAGGGCCGCGACAGCGGCGCCTCGCAGCCCAAGAAGCCGCGCCTCGTCTTCACCGACGTGCAGAGGCGCACGCTGCTTGCCATCTTCAAGGAGAACCGCCGGCCCTCCAAGGAGATGCAGGTGACCATCGCCCAGCAGCTCGGCCTGGAGCTCACCACGGTCAGCAACTTCTTCATGAACGCGCGGCGCCGCAGCCTCGACAAGTGGCAGGACGAGGGCGGAGGGTTGCTGGGGGCCGCCTCGTCAGGGGCGGGAGCCTCCTCCCAGCAGCCGCCTTCGTCTTCCTCCGTGGCGTCCTGCGGCAGCAGCAAGGCTTGAGGGAGTGTGCGGAGCGTGACGTGAGATCGGCAGTGGCGAGAGGGAGGGGGCCACTGTTTGTCGTGCGGGAGGCGAAGGGACAGATGGTGATGAGTCTTCGCCTGCGCTGACGACCTCGTGAAGAGCAGCCGCACCCCACCGTAACTTCACCTGAGCCGCTCCGCTCCCCCCGCACTCCCCGCTAGCCCCCACCCCTCCCCCCGCACTCCCCCCCTCTCCCGCTGCCCCCCACTCCCCACCCACCCACCCGTACCCCACCCCCCCCTGACACAAGAACATTGTGTTGCAAACGAAACCAAAGATGGATTTTTTTTCTTCTTCAAAGGGGGAAAAAAACCCAAAAAAACATTGAAAACCTCAAAATATAACACGGGAAGAAGGGCGATCATCACGGGTCTTAGTAGCACCTTAACCACCCCACCCCCTCCCTTTGGGAGTCCCCCCCCCCACTCCTCCAGGGTGTTCATTCTCAAAGCTGCGTCTGCGTTGAGAGCGCGACCTCGACTCCTGTCCCAGGAGCTCCGTGATGCGGGGGGGTGGGGGCCCTGCGGAGGACTCGGGCCCCCTACCACAACGGAGGGGTTCCTGGACGAGGGGAGATGAGTTGAAAGCGCTTCCCACCATCGTTCTGGCAGTATTAATATTATTGTTGCGATGTATAATTACGCATTCTTTATAAGTACTATTTGTATGTTTGTTGTAGTTTGTTGTTGTTGTGAGGCGTCACCCTCACGCCTCCTCCGAGGCTCGCGATGTCGCCTCAGCGTCCCGTCGGGTGGCTGTGTGTTGTTGTTTGTTGACGATGATTTACCCGCCTGCTAGCTGATGGCTCTGATGACGCTCAGTGTCACCCCTCGCTCAGTGTCACCCCTCACTCAGTGTCACATTTCACTCAGTGTCACATCTAACTCAGTGTCACATTTCACTCAGTGTCACATCTAACTCAGTGTCACCCCTCGCTCAGTGTCACCCCTCACTCAGTGTCACCTCTCGCTCAGTGTCATCTCTCACTGTCACCCCTCGCTCAGTGTCATCTCTCACTCAGTGTCACCCCTCGCTCAGTGTCACCCCTCGCTCAGTGTCACCCCTCGCTCAGTGTCACCCCTCACTCAGTGTCACCCCTCGCTCAGTGTCTCCTCTCGCTCAGTGTCACCCTCACTCAGTGTCACCCCTCGCTCAGTGTCACCCCTCACTCAGTGTCACCCCTCCCTCAGTGTCACCCCTCGCTCAGTGTCACCTCTCGCTCAGTGTCACCTCTCGCTCAGTGTCACCCCTCGCTCAGTGTCACCTCTCGCTCAGTGTCACCCCTCGCTCAGTGTCACATTTCACTCAGTGTCACCCCTCGCTCAGTGTCACCCCTCACTCAGTGTCACCCCTCACTCAGTGTCACCTCTCGCTCAGTGTCACCTCTCGCTCAGTGTCACCCCTCGCTCAGTGTCACCTCTCGCTCAGTGTCACCTCTCGCTCAGTGTCACTTCTCATCTTCAGTTTCTCCCCGGGCGAACTCCGTCCTCCCCCGTAGCCCGGCGAGGAGACGCGGCCTGGGCTCGAGCCTCAGGGCACGCCACCTCGGAGTGGAAATCTGTGTGTCACATCTCCTCCAGCCTCTCACCGTTCTTCTCGAGTCTTTCTTCTCCACCCTGCATCATCCACCCTCCCACCCCCCCCCCGAACAACAATCATAGGGGGTGGAATCATTCATCCGAGCCACGTGCACTCTCGAGAGTCATCAGGAACGTAGCGATGAGTGGTGAGTCGTCCATCCTCCTCCTCGCCGGGGGAGCGAGGCAGGGAGGCAGGGATCCAAGGATTGTGGTGTCGATTGAAGGAGGAAGCCCAGGGAGCGAGAGAGGCAAGGGAGCGGTGCCTGGACAGGAGGATGGAGCGCGGGGTTGGTGGAGCCGAGCCGAGCGAGCGCAGCCGCGGCCGCCGAGACGGAGCACGGACCTGGAGCCTCGCGCGACGGTGGTGGAGGAGGAGGAGTAGGGGAGAGGGCGATCAGTGCCTTGAGTGAGCGGCCCAACGTGAAGGAGGAGCTCCGAGGTGGAGCCACCGCATGGGTGGAAGTGGAGCTGCTGCCGTCGATGTTGAGACCAAAGCGACATCCCCGCCGCCCTTCGCTCGGCCGAGCCGCCTCCACAGCCCCCCCCCCCCCCCACTCTCAACCCTCCGCCTCGTGACTTCAAAGGCGCAGCCCTGCAATGTCTCGCTCACGCCCCTGCTGGCGAAAAGCCCTCCATTAGAGAGAATTGTAGAGAGCCCCCCCCCCAATCTAAAGGGTATTTGGCCTACTCGTCCACGCTGGTAGAGATGTGTGGGTTAGATCGCGTGAATATCAATGCGTCGTTAAAACCGCCACGGCCGACACCGCCAATTAGTGAGGTTTGTCACGTAAACAAAACGTGCCAATTCGTTATTAGTACAGCACACCGGTGCGTTGGAGAGTAAACCCGCAACATTTACGAGTTCGACGTTTCGCCAGTAATCTTCCACGCTGGCCGGCACGTCGCGGACGAGGTGGGCGAACCCAACACTTTACACGACCATAACGCGAGTGGCTGCCGATGGTGACCACCACTTCACTGGCTGTGGTCGCACCCGGACACTGCGGCTGTCACATGCCGCGCCGGGAGGTTGCGCGCAGGGTGCTCACCGCGACCACCTCCGCCGTGGCAGCAGCAGCAGCAGCTGCGTCTCGCCCAGAGGCGTGAAGGCAGCAGCAGCAGCGAGGGTTGGTGGATCACACACAGATGAGTGTCGAGGAGGTGCCTGGCTCGCCAGAAGAAGGCGGTGCACAAGTGGACTACTCGCCATTTGTTCCAACTCACTTCCCCGTGGGGGGTGGGGGCGTGGTGCCCAGAGCCTGACATGCCAAGAGAAGGCAGTGCAGCAAGTCCAACAACCTCCATCTATTTCCATCTGTACGGGGGGAGGGGGGGATAGAGTGTTGTCCCCTCGCGCAAGGCGTGGTGGGTATTTCTCCGGGCGCTACGGTTTCCCTCCTCCCACGTGATAATAATCACGACTCGCCACTAATGGGGGCTGATGAACACAGCGTACGAAGAGACCGCCCCCCCCCCCCCGAGTGTAGCGGCGGCAGCACCCTCCTGATCGCGAGCAGGGCCCAGCGTGGCTCTGGAAATGAACGCAACGACGACGGCGATCGACAGCCCCGCTCTGAAATGCACTGCTGAGTGAAGGCCTCTCCACGCCGCGTCGGGCGTGGGGAGGACCATACTTCACCACGGTGGTCAGTGCGGGTTTGGCGAAGGAAAGGGGGGGGGGGGCGAGGTGCATGACCACTCCAGCCTCCACTCGCCACTGATGTTCGCCGTGGCCACGAGGAGGCGCAGGAGGCCATGGTGATGGCTCCGATTGGCTCGAGCGGATCTATAGAGGCAAGAGGCGTAAGGAAGAATGGGGGGGGGGGGCTGGAGGACCCCCCCCCCTCCGAACTGGAATCGTTGTGGTTGCTCCGTCTTAATAGATTCTCATGCGTGAGGATTAAATGCAATATCGGAATGGTTAGAATCGATTTTATCCGTGGATCGAGTCATCGAATCGCAACATGCCGATCCGCGGGCTCTTCAACCGAAGGCTCAGCAGATGAGTCTCCGGCTTAGGGGACCGGGTCCCCTGGTGGCAGGGGCGGGGTCAGAAAGGTACCCCCTAGGACCCCCCGTTAGAATCCTTAGGAACCCCAATATAAACCCCGCGAGGGTCCCTTTGATCCCCGCTAGGACCAAGCTAGGGACCTGCTTCGGATCCCGAGGGGACTCCTCTATAATCCCTGCTGGGAAGAGCACTAAGCGACCCCGCCAGGACCCCGCTAGGACCCCGACTCATCCCTCCTGTGGGTGTCGCCTGGCCGGGAGAGATGCGGTCCGCGCTCTGTCACTTTACCGGGCTCTCGGATATACCTCATGGGTGTGTACACGTGTGTGTGTATACACGTGTGTGTGTGTGTGTACACGTGTGTGTGCGTACACGTGTGTGTACACGTGTGTGTGTGTGTGCACGCGTGTGTGTGTGTATATGCGTGTGTGTACACGTGTGTGTGTACCCGTGTATGTATGCACGTGTGTGTACGGATGTATGTACACGTACGTGTGTACACGGGTTCATGTTAATACGTGTACCAATGTGTTTGTGTACACAGGTGTATATTTACACAGGTATGTGTGTGTACACCAATAAGTGTGTATACCGGTGTGTGTGTACACCTGTGTTTATGTAAACAGCTGTGTGTGTAAAGAGGTGTATGTAAAGAGGCGTGTGTACACCAATGTACGGGTCTGTGTGTGTGTGTACACAGGTTTGTGTATGTACGTACTGAATAGCGTTGTGTGTGTGAGCGTGTACACAAATGTGTGTATACAGGTGCGTGTAACGCATAGCTGTACAAGGGTCTATGCACCGCAGTGTGCGTGTACACCCTGGCTGTGTGTACACACACATCGAAGTGTATGTGTGTGTGTAGACACACTACGCTGTGTTACACACACGTGCGAGTGTGTGTGTACATAGCTGGTCGCCGTGCTGTCCTGTAGAGCGCGTGCTGTGCGTAGCTGTGTTCGCGAATCGAGGCCCCGACCCCCGGGGTTGTGAGGACCCCCACAAAGGCGCCGCTCCTCGCACCTCGTGGTGGAGGGGGCACGAAGACCCCCAACTCCCCCTCCACCGCTCGGTGGGGAGGGGGAGGCGTCTCTGCACCTGTAACCAAAGAATCGCGGCGTCTTAAAAGAGCTTTCACTTTGAACTGATACTTGTTGAATTGATACTGGTACTTGTTGTTGTTGTGGAAGAGTTCATTATTTAAGAAGAGCGTTTTATACAAACGGGTCCACGTGTCCGTGTGCTGCTGGCAAGGCCAGCGAACCCGGCGTGACCCTGGAGCCCCGCGTGACCCTCGAGTCTCGCGCGACCCTGGATCCCCACGTGACCCTGGAGCTCCGCGTGACCCTAGAGCCCCGCGTGACCCTTGAGTCTCGCGCGACCCTTGAGTCTCGCGTGACTCTAGAGCCCCGCGTGACCCTTGAGTCTCGCGCGACCCTTTAGTCTCGCGTGACTCTAGAGCCCCGCGTGACCCTTGAGTCTCGCGCGACCCTTGAGTCTCGCGTGACTCTAGAGCCCCGCGTGACCCTCGAGCCCCGCGTGACCCTCGAGCTCCGCGTGACCC